TGAGTAATAAATTTCTCTGTGTAAAATACATATGGACCAATTCTCAGTGTAGAGCAAAAAGCAATCATCGGAAACGTGAATTTAGCAAGCAATCGTCACTACAACCATGGTGCTATTGTAAGGATTCATATGGGTATAAACAAGGTGCTTTTGCTCCTAAACGAACATGGGGACCCCTCATTTTTATTTCAAAATTTAAATTCCTATAACATAAACAATCGATAGGCAAAGTTTCACAAAAATCTCAGCGCAGGTTCTATTTCAGCAGAATGACGTTAAGACCTTTACTACATTTAGGACCAAACTGTATTACATTTAGGACCTTTATTACATTTAGGGCCAAATTTTATCGCATTTAGGATCTTTATTACATTTAGGGAGATTTATTCCATTTGAGACCCCAACACAGGTTACCGTGTGACTTAGACATTGCCACAGTGAAATCTGAATGACTTTGAGCAGAATTATTTATTTATTTATCTTATTTTACTTTTTTTTTTTTTGTTAACGGGGAAAGATGTGTCGATATTTATTAGCATAGTTAATTCGGTGCGTGCGAATACTCTGCGTGGTATGTATCCAATTGTACATACTTAAGTCGTCTGTAATTTATGCCTGTGGCAGTTGCATCCAATCTTGGCTGCTATCAAGATGTCTTCGATGAATTCAATCAAAGTTATTTCACGTTACACCCATGACCTCTCATATACCAGTCTAGTACATTTCCAAATTCCAATTCTAGCTTGGAAAGTGTCCCCAGTTTGTGCGAGAGCGCTAAATAAATTTGACACTTAAATAAAGTAAATTATTATTATTTATTTTTTTCTCTTATGGGCTAGGCTATTTACTAGGTTTACATTATTTATGCTTTTAGCTGTGCATTGCCAAGTTTAATATGCACTTGGGAAGATCGGAGAGCAAAACAAGAAGCTAAACTTGCTCTTAGCTGTGCCTCCATAACAATTTAGTTAATTTAGTTGCCTACAAACGTCTTGACGCAAGCACCTTAACTCAATGATTGTATCGTCGAACATAACCTTGAGAAACTTCAAATGACATTTAAAACATGAAAAAATAGGCCTGTAAGCTTATGGTCTTATGACCCCAAGTTTGGTAATCAAAAAAAAAGCAACTCGTTCATGCTTGGCGTGAGTATATCGAATTATGGATGCATACGGGAAATCTGGAGGACACGAGAGAACCGTGCGTTTCTTGAGTGCTCTCCAAACTTCCCAAGTGCATCCATAACTCGACATATGCACATAGCGACGACAGCTTGGGCGTTAAAAGATGTTTTACTGGTAATCGACTACAAAGTTCCCACAATGTATGGTAAGGGAAAGCAAAGGTTCCTGTTGGCTTGTCAAAACACGCCACAATCACTTGAGCGATGGTTGAGCGAGAACGTTTCATCTGGCTTCTAAAATTGTCACTAAAACTTCATGACAGCTTCTCCGAAAATGTAGGCAAACAAATTAAAAATACTCAATGGAAATGAAGACAAACAAAGTCAAAATAATCAAGTTTTAGAAAACATCTTAGCTTGGTAAAAGTCGAACGCTCGAAGTAGACTTTGGATTGTTCAGAATGTTCATATTGCCGAAACTTTAGCAAAAGGAACTCGCAGCTAAGCTCGACAGAAACTTTGCAACAACAATTAAACCGCACACATCATGTTATTTACGCTCGGCCATGCGTATAGAGAGATTTTTACCATGATGGCTCGATAGGAATTAGGTAGGACCAGCGCGCGCTCTATGTTATAATACATTTTGGTAGATAATATTGCTTTGAAAGACTCCATTCATGCACATACGCCAATTCCGGATAACTAAACTACCATGAGGTTTAAAGTTTACCTTTAACTTGCAGCTGATAAGGTAAGTCACCTGGTAGCTACCGTATTTCACTTAGTAAAGGCGACGCTAGCCGGTGGAGATCTGGTAAAGTGGTACTAGCAATAGTTGATCTGGTGTTTTATAGTATTGTTATTTTTACTTCTTTAACCTACATCTACCAACACAGCCTCACAAGCAGCATCACTTTAAACTTAATCATGAGAGCAAAATTGATTACATATTAAATCAGTTATTCCGTCAGTCCGTCAGCCTGTCCGTCAGTCCGTCCGTCTGTCAGTCAATCAATCGAGTACTTACCTTTGTTTTCTGCAATGAGATTGAGAACTTGCTCATATTCCTGGAAGAGGACAAAATGGGTTTACCTCTTTTGCAATCTATTTCAAGAAAGTTTTTAGGAGTTTGTCACCAAAGAGCGCAGTCAACTGTGCACATCAGCGACTTAATACGGGGTTCGCACAAAAGAACACCAGACAGACACTTTGCAAATAATGAACATTTACATCTTCCTTACGTAACAAACATACCAGACAATGCTCGAAATATTGCCATAATTATCATTAGAAGTAAATATGTCTGAGGTACTACTGAATTAGTTCACTACTCGTTTGCATCAGGTTTGTGACATTACTGCAATTATCGCATTTAAATGTTTCAGCTTGGATATTGAATCACACCGCCGTACTGCATTTAAGCTGTGTAATAATCACTAACTTGATGACTACCCTAGACAATGTAGCTGCTCATACAAATTTTCACTCACTACGGAAAATAGCATGTTTACAGATTATTGTCGCAGAGGTACGCGGTGCTTAGAAAAATTGACATAAAATACACCCCTAACCTCAAAGTAGGTGGTGGGATCTTCACAATGTTCCATTTCCATCACCTCGTCCGGAAGGTATCGCCTCATACAGTCGTGTACCATTTTCAACCAGTCTATTAAGACATCATTATTTTTTCCTTGCACTCTCTTAAAGAGGCGGAACAATCTTAAAAGATCTGGATATGAAAAGAACAGTGAAAAGTAAAATTGTGGAATTCTTGATGATCTGAAACCTTTGCACATAATTATAAGAAACTCCTCCCTCCCTTTTAAAACTAATTAACATTGAATTAATGTAAGCAATCCACGATCCCGAGAGCCATTAAACCCACAGCCCAAGAACCGCCAAGGCGTATTATGCACAAACCACCAACAAGGTTACCTAGCAAGACGTGATTGATCATATATTCACTTGTAAGGTTATCTTAACCGTCCATAACGACTGAAACGTTTTTTTCAAGTTTTTGCTTTGGCTTTGTAGTTGCTTTAAAAACTTAAATTCTGTCTGTCATCAAGTGTGTTGAAAACGCTGGCACTCAATCGACGCGCTACTTAGCAAAAACTCGGAAAAGGCATGCGCAAGAAGATTATAATATCAACAGCCAAATTTCTGCTATTGGCCACTTTCCCCAAGACTCAATAACCCATAAATAAGTTTTAAGGTAATGAAAAAGTACAAAGGCGACTTTTACGACAACTGCAGAAGTTCTCGTGCGCTCTCTGGCTAATTTTCATTGCCAATAAGCGGACAGACACATGAATTTATAATTTATGCGATTCGTCAACGAGCCAGAGCGGACAGTTTGACAATTTGTTATCGTAAAAAACAAATTGACGTCAGTTTTTAATGCGTCTGTCCTGTTATTGAAAATGAATTTCGTCATAACATTGTCAAAGTAGTCTGCAGATCCACTTGGCTGATCCACAGCTACTTTGACATTGTTATTATGAAATTCAGGATCAATAACGGGACAGACGCATGAAAAATTGACGTCATTTTGTTAAATTGAGAACGAATGTTTAGTGTAACAACTTCATCTGCATCATCATGATTATGTGACCATTAGATAATTACAAAAATAAAGAAAACATCTGTCAAAATCTAAACAAACCTTCTATTTTGTTGTGTTTAAGCATATGATTAACACCAGAATTTTCCATTTCAATCACTGTCTTCATGTGTTTGTAAAGCAGCTCCTCCACGACAATCTGTTATCAAAGACGAACCGTAAGTTTTGTACTACACAAGGGATTCAAATATTTCTGTATAAATTTTCATTCAAGCTTCATGTACTCGATATCGAGTACATGTTACCTTTACAATGTCCTCCTCTGTACTGGGATCCAGCAAATGTCGCGCGCGTTCTGCCTCCTCCCGCATCGTAGTCTCAACCTGTTGGAATATCATTGGAAGTTACATGGCAGTACCACTGTCAGTCTAACCAAATCAGAATTCAGCCAAAAACCACTCCAATGTGAATATGCTTGAATACTAGAAACTGGCAAACCTTCTGAAGAAACACTGATGCACTGCTTTCTGCAAGTAAAATTTCACTTTTCAACTGTCAAGAAAAGTTAAGCAATAAAAAGTTAACACTAATCTATCAAAAAAAAAAACCAAATTTGTGTTACATAACTAAACGGAGCGAGCAACTTGAACATCTTGAACAGCAATTTTCCTGGAATACAATTGTCTCCAGACACTCTGATAATGACGAACTCCCAAGCCACCACGCTTAACTCTTTAAAAGTCACCGGCCTTAGAGAAGACTGTCCTGTATTGCACAGTATTTTAAATCATCTTAGATTTTCAGTTTATGATTGGCTTGCCAACATTTCACCGGTTTGTCTCTGTATTTGCAATTCTTCCTTCATTTCTCTACGACACATCCTTCCAAAGAAAAGCACTACCCCTAACATCTCAGAAACATCAACATAGAAAATTCCCTACAATTTATAACGCCCTCCGCAATTGGTAACTCCGAAAAAAAAAATGCAACCACCAGTCCCATCACTATTTTACACTGGTGAAATGGAAGTAATCCAATACTTCCTGATCAATCTTGTGTAATTAACACATAGATATTGAACAAGGTTCTTACTTTGAAGAATTCTGCAGACTCGTCAAGGAAGGGTTTCTCAAAATAGCCTTCATAAACACTTCTGGAATCAGGTCCCAGTGCCAGTAACATTTTACATGTACTTTTAATGGTCATCCTTCAAGAAAAAAGCTAGTTCTTACTACAAGACGATTAATCTTATGCCCTGGACACTAAATCAAATACTTTTAGCATCCCCATGGTATTCTTGTCGATTTAAGAAAAAACAATTGTTTCCCCACTTATGGTGTAACTTTACCCATTCTGCTAACTGCCAGGGCAATTATGAAATTGTTACGGGATGAAGCGAGTACCTGAAAATGAGTTTGTTCAATTAATCTGTGGTTTTATTATTATTATTATTATTATTATTATTATTATTATTATTATTATTACCATTATTATTACCATTACCATTATTGTTATTATCATTACCATTACCATTACCATTATTACTATTACCACTACCATTACCATTACCATTACTATTATTACCATTACCATTATTACCATTACCATTACCATTACTATCATTATTACCATTATTACCATTATTTACCATTATTTACCATTATAACTACTTAATAACCGAGAGTGAGGTCATTACGGGATAAATCTCAAACTGCGGCCTTGCTGTATTGACCAAGCGATAGCGAGGTCAATACGGTAGGCCGAGGTTTGAGATTTTCCCGTAACGACCAAACGGTCGAAGTTATTAAGTTGTTTATTATATGGCCCATAAATTAAAGAAAAGAAAAAAATTATTCGAGCGGAAGTCGTCAGTTTACATCCGGCGATGCACACGTTTACTGATTCATTCATCGTCTCAAACCCAGGGCAAAACTGCACAGTCAGTGAACTTCACCACTGTATTATGTATTCCGTAAAAATACACATTTCCTTACGGGAGAAGTGATTGTCACAGCCTCAAAAAGGTGTTTTAGTATAGTGGTGCCACAAGTGGATGGGGGAGTTTTTCCAACTTTTGTGGCGAAACGTCAACGCACATGGAAAAGACAGAGAGTGCTTCAAA